TGAATAACTCTTTGACATTTTATTTTATTTTTAGAGAAACAAGTTAAGAAAATAATAAATTAGAAATAAATAATACAAGAAATGTAATAATACACAAAGTATAAAATTTAATTCAATTCAATTCAATTTTATTTGTACAGCGCCAATTCATAACAGAAGTTATCTGAGGACACTTTTCAAATAGAGCAGGTCTAGACCGAACTCTTTATAACATTATTTACAGAGACTCAACAGTACCACCATGAGCAAGACCTTGGAGACAAGGGCAAGGAAAAACTGCCTGTTAAAAGGCAGAAACCTAGGACAGGTCTCTAGAAATATGGCAAAGTTTATTTCTAAAACCTGACAGTTCAGAGTTGGGACCAGGAAGCAGAGCTGCTGTCTTACACACTTCTCTGCGCTTTCTTTAGAACAGTCACCCACCCAAAACCCCATAGAGACTGTGTCTGTCCCCCGACCACCTAAATTATTTAAAGGAATAAAAACAAGAGGAGTTAAAGATAAAAACCTAATAAAAATTAAAACCAACTCCTCAGTAGCACAAAATAAGAGAATGAAATGTGGGCTGTTTAATATCAGGTCTCTGTCCTCTAAAGCTGTTTTAGTGAATGAATTAATATCAGATTATGATATTGATTTACTTTGTCTTACTGAGACCTGGTTGTCCCATGAGGAGTATGTTAGCCTAAATGAATCCACCCCCCCCAGTCATATTAATACTCTCATTCCTCGAGGCACAGGCCGAGGAGGTGGAGTGGCAGCCATATATGATTTGAGCGTTTTAATGGACTCTAAACCTAAACTAAATTATAATTCATTTGAAAGCCTTGTTCTTAGTCTTTCTCACCCAAACTGGAAAACACTGCAGCCAGTTCTATTTGTTATAGTGTACCGCGCTCCTGGACCGTACTCTGATTTTATATCTGAATTCTCAGAGTTTTTATCAAGTTTAGTCCTTAAATCAGATAAAGTAATTATTGTAGGTGATTTTAATATTCATGTGGATGTTGACAATGACAGCCTTAGTAATGCATTTATATCATTAATAAACTCAATTGGCTTCTGTCAGAGTGTAAATAAACCAACTCATTGTTTTAATCACACTCTTGACCTTGTTTTATCATATGGCATTGATATTGAACATTTAATAGTCTTCCCACATAATCCTTTCCTATCTGACCATTATTTAATAACTTTTGAATTCATACTATTAGATTATAAGCCATTAGGCAAAACTTCCTACAGCAGATGTCTATCTGACAGTGCTGTAGCTAAATTTAAGGAGGAGATTCCTTCAGTGTTTAATTCAATGCCATGTCTGAATTTAACAGAGTCCTATAACAACTTTAGTCCCTCTGAAATTGATAATCTTGTCGATAGTGCTACAGGCTCACTACGATCAACATTAGACTCTATCGCTCCTATAAAAAGGAAATTATTAAAACATAGGAGACTAGCACCGTGGTACAACCACCAAACCCGCCAGTTAAAACAAATAGCTAGGAAATCTGAAAGGAAATGGCGCTCTTCCAAATTATCAGAATATCGCTCAAATTGGCAAGATGATCTTAAGATTTATAGAAAGGCCCTCCGTAATGCCAGAGGAGCCTATTACTCAGCACTAATAGAAGAAAATAAGAACAACCCTAGGTTCCTCTTCAGCACTGTAGCCAGGCTGACAGAGAGTCACAGCTCTATTGAGCCACATATCCCCATAAACCTAAGTAGCAATGACTTCATGAGCTTCTTCTATAATAAAATTATTACTATTAGAGAGAAAATTAATCACCAACTGCCATCAACAGTTATCAGTGGCTCTCCAAGTTCAGGGACTTCTGTCAATGTAAACTTAGATGTTTATTTAGACTGTTTTTCTGCTATCGATCTTCATCAGTTAACTTCCATCATTTCTTCATTGAAGCCATCAACCTGTCTATTAGACCCGATCCCAACTAGGCTGCTTAAAGAAGTTGTTCCCTTAATTGGCACTTCTTTACTGGATATGATTAATCTTTCTTTATTATCAGGATATGTACCACAGTCCTTTAAAGTAGCTGTAATTAAACCCCTTCTTAAAAAGTCCACTCTTGACCCAGGGGTTTTAGCCAACTATAGACCGATTTCTAACCTCCCCTTCCTCTCTAAGATTCTGGAGAAAGTAGTCGCCAAAGAGTTGTGTGACTTTCTACGTAACAATAGTTTATTTGAGGATTTTCAGTCAGGATTTAGAGTTCATCATAGCACAGAGACAGCTCTGGTTAAAGTTAATAATGACCTTCTGATTGCTTCTGACAATGGCCTTGTCTCTGTACTTGTATTATTAGATCTTAGTGCTGCATTTGACACCATTGACCATAATATTCTTTTACAGAGACTTGAGCATCAAATTGGCATTAAAGGAACCGCACTAAGCTGGTTTAAGTCATATTTATCAGATCGCTCGCAGTTTGTACATGTTAACGATGAATCTTCAATAAATACTACAGTTAGTCATGGAGTTCCACAAGGTTCTGTACTTGGACCAATACTATTTACTTTATATATGCTCCCTTTAGGCAACATTATTAGGAATCACTCCATTAACTTTCACTGTTATGCAGATGATATGCAGTTATATCTATCAATCAAGCCCAATGAAATTAATCAATTATCTAAATTACAAACATGTCTTAAGGACATAAAATCCTGGATGACCTGCAATTTTCTGATGTTAAACTCAGAAAAAAACGAAATTCTTGTTCTTGGCCCCAAAAACCTTAGAGACTCACTGTCTAAAGATATAGTTACTCTAGATGGCATTAACTTGGCCTCTAGCACCACTGTCAGGAATCTTGGAGTTATCTTTGATCAGGATTTGTCATTTAACTCCCACATAAAGCAGACCTCTAGGACTGCCTTCTTTCATTTACGTAATATTAGAAAAATTAGACACATCCTATCACAGACAGATGCAGAAAAACTAATCCATGCATTTGTTACTTCAAGGCTGGATTACTGCAACTCTTTATTATCAGGTTGCCCCAATAAGTCCATTAAAACGCTCCAATTAATTCAGAACGCTGCAGCACGAGTACTGACAGGAACTAGAAAAAGAGATCACATCTCTCCTGTACTAGCTTCTCTGCATTGGCTCCCTGTAAAATGTAGAATAGAATTTAAAATCCTCCTCCTCACCTATAAAGCTCTTCATGGTCAGGCCCCTTCATATCTTAAAGAGCTCATAGTACCCTATTACCCCACTAGAACACTACGTTCTCTGAATGCTGGGCTACTTGTGGTTCCTATAGTCTCTAAAAGTAGAACAGGAGCCAGAGCCTTCAGTTACCAAGCTCCTCTCCTGTGGAACCAGCTTCCAGTTGTGGTTCTGGAGGCAGACACCCTCACCACATTCAAGAGTAGGCTTAAGACATTCCTCTTTGATAAAGCTTATAGTTAGGGCTGGATCAGGTGAGTCCTGAACCATCCCTTAATTATGCTGCTATAGGCCTAGACTATCGGGGGATTTCCCATGGTGCACTGAGCTCCTCTCTTCCTCTCTCTTTCTGCACTCATTCATGTTCCATTAATGCATGTTACTAACTTCACTTCTTCCTCGGAGTTCTTGTGCTTTCTCGTCTCGCAGGTTCTTATCGATCCTGGTGGAGCCTCCTGCCATGGTCCTGCCAGATTGCCATTGCTAATACTGTTGTTGCTGTGCACCTGTCTGTCTGTCTCTCTCTCTCTCTCTCTCTCTCACCCCAACTGGTTGAGACAGACGACCACCCACCTAGAGCCGAAGGATCTGTCCTAGGTTTCTGCCTTTTACAGGCAGTGTTTCCTTGCCCTTGTCTCCAAGGTCTTGCTCATGGTGGTACTGTTGGGTCTCTGTAAATAATGTTATAAAGAGTTCGGTCTAGACCTGCTCTATTTGAAAAGTGTCCTGAGATAACTTCTGTTATGAATTGGCGCTATACAAATAAAATTGAATTGAATTGAATTGAATTGAATAATCAATTGATTTATTGATCACTATTGGAACTGTTTCAGGTGATCTGGAGGTTCAGCGGAGGAATTCCGGGAACATTGGCCCCCAACACGAAGCTTTCTGATTGGATCCCTCAGAACGACCTGCTGGGTACACTGCAGCATTTCAAAATAAAAGACTTCTGAGGCCAGATATCCTTTTACAATAAAAGCCCCGCGTTTGCTCACAGGTCATCCAAAGACCAGAGCGTTTGTGACCCACGGTGGCACCAACGGTCTGTACGAGGCGGTGTACCACGCCGTGCCGCTGGTCGGAGTCCCACTGTTCGGTGATCAGCCCGATAACCTCGCCCGTCTGAGCCGCCGCGGTGCCGCCATCGTCCTCGACTTCAACCACCTGACATCTGACGAGCTAACGGAGGCGCTGAACGATGTCGTCAACCAGCCGATGTGAGCGTGACATCACAGGAAGCTTTCAATCTGACTTCTTTCCTTTCACAGTAAAAGCCCTGACTTCCTGCTGAATCAGAATACAAATCACAATAACATCATACTGACGTTCAATAAAACGTGACATGATTTTTTCCCATGATTCTCAGCTACAAGTCCAGCATGCAGCGTCTGTCGGTGCTGCAGCGTGACCAGCCGGTGGCCCCGCTGAGCACCGCCGTCTTCTGGGTGGAGTTTGTAATGCGACACGGTGGAGCGCAACACCTGCGGCTGGCGTCACATGACCTGAACTGGTTCCAGTATCACAGTGTGGACACTGGTGCCGCCTTACTGATCGCCGTGACAACCGCCATTGTGCTCTGCTTGGGGGCCGCCAGGTGCTGCCTGCGGCGCTGCAGCAGGCAGCGAGGAAGAGACAAGAACGACTGAAGATCAATTAAAGATTTATGACAAACATAAATAAATAATAATTGCTGTTATTGGTCGTTTTATTTCCAGATACAGTAATCAATTATTTTCCTCAGCTTTAATGTAATTTTTACACAGCTGATCAATCAGCTGATCGGTTAAAGAAACAAACACTCTGATTTCAGATTTTATTTCTTTTATTTTGTACAAAAACAGACACAAGCTCCGGCCCCCCGTTCAGAAACAGGAAGGAAAGTTTTCACCTTTTTAACACTGAGACTCCACTGATCAGTTTGACCTGCTGCCGATCAATACACAATAAATCTGATCATCTGGACGTTTGGTCACCATGGTAACAACCAATCAGAGGTGATTGAGCAAAAAGGAAAAAAAAAGAAATCTGATGTTTTACAGGAAGCAGATTTTTTATCGTCACCAGCAGAAAAAAGTAAAATATAAAATTAAAATAAATAAACAAACTGAGGCTGGACGAGTTTAAATTCAACAACAAAACTAAAGTTAAAAAACGTACAAAAAGGAGGTGAAACTCTTCTTCATGGGTTTTAAATTGAGTTAAAGGAGTTCGCAGGAAAAACTGTCCATCCTTTCACAATAAAAGAGGCAATGATGAGAGAAAAATAAAATGTTTTGTTGTTAACATGTGACAGGTCCCTGTGCTGTGATGTCACTTCCCTTTTTACACAGGATCATCAAAATAAAAGTTTTGATTAAACTCACCAGAAATCACCAGGTGTTTTTTTTTTTACAGTTTTTAAATATTTTATTCACATAAAAACTGATGATGTCATCACGTAGCTCAACAAAAAACAGGAAACAGCAACACCGCTGCTGACCGTCAAAATAAAAGCCCCTGCAGGCTGACAGGATATGACATCATCAGATCACCTGCGGTACCGCCCCCTCTCCTTGTCCCTCTCCCTCTCTCTGTCTCTGTCCCTCCCTCGCTCCCTCTCTCTCTCGCGTCGGGGGCCGCCACGGTCACGTTCACGCTGCCGCTCGCGCTCACGCCGGCTGCTCACCACCGCCTGCGTCCGCCGCAGGAAGTCGTCCACACGCATGTCGTAGTCGTGCTGCATGATGGGAAAAAAACAGGAGACACAAATCAATCATTTTAATCAATAAGACTACTGAGGGGGACAAAAGGTCAAATTAATATTAGATTACTGATTTATTGATTATCTTTATTGTAGTTTTGTCAGACAGGAAGTAGAATAACTCACTGGGCTGGAGGTGAAGGCGCGGTGTTGTGGCGCTCGCTGTTTGTCTCTGAAGCGAGGGGGTGGAGCCTCATGTGGTGGCAGGGGGGGGTGGTGGTGGTGGTGGTAAGCCTGGTGAGGGGGGGGCGGGGGGTGACTGTGGTGGTAGTATGGGGGGTGGTGGGGGGGTGGCTGCTCGACGCCAGGATACGCCGCCTGATGACACACACGACATCATTAGTTCATTCTGTTGTCAATAACCTAATCCAGGGGTTCTCAACCTTTTGCAAGCTGGGCCCCCCCAAAGCTGGTTCATTGCAGTTGGGTTATAATACGTACCAGCGTCTGCCAGGGAGCAGGAGGACCGACGCTGTGGTGATAATCCCTCATGTAGTCGTTATATGACTGAAACAGGAAGCACACAGGTAAATACGTCGCACCTGAACACTACTGAATGTACCTGAACGCACCGGAACGCACCTCAATGCACCTGAACACTATTTAACGTACCTGAATGTACCTGAATGCACCTCAGTGCACCTGAACACTACTGAATGCACCTCAGTGCACCTGAACGCACCTCAGTGCACCTGAACACTACTGAATGTACCTGAACGCACCGGAACGCACCTCAATGCACCTGAACACTATTTAACGTACCTGAATGTACCTGAATGCACCTCAGTGCACCTGAACACTACTGAATGCGCCTCAGTGCACCTGAACACTACTGAATGCACCTCAGTGCACCTGAACGCACCTCAGTGCACCTGAACGCACCTCAGTGCACCTGAACGCACCTCAGTGCACCTGAACGCACCTCAATGCACCTGAACGCACCTCAATGCACCTGAACGCACCTCAATGCACCTGAACGCACCTCAATGCACCTGAACGCACCTGAATGCGCCTGAACGCACCTGAATGGAGCTGAATGCACCTGAATGTACCTGAATGTACCTGAATGTACCTGAACGCACCTGAACGTAGCTGCACAGTACTGAATGTACCTGAATGCGCCTGAACACTACTGAATGCACCTGAACACTACTGCATGTGCCTGAATGCACCTGAACGCACCTGAACACTACTGAATGTTGCTGAACGCAACTGGATGTACCTGAACGCACCTGAATGTACCTGAACGCAACTGAACACTACTGAATGTTGCTGAACGCACCTGAACACTACTGAATGTACCTGAACACTACTCAATGTACCTGAACGCACCTGAACACTACTGAATGTACCTGAACACTACTCAATGTACCTGAACGCACCTGAACACTACTGAATGTACCTGAACACTACTGCACTAACCCAAGTCTCTAAAAGTAGAACAGGAGCCAGAGCCTTCAGTTACCAAGCTCCTCTCCTGTGGAACCAGCTTCCAGTTGTGGTTCTGGAGGCAGACACCCTCTCCACATTCAAGAGTAGGCTTAAGACATTCCTCTTTGATAAAGCTTATAGTTAGGGCTGGATCAGGTGAGTCCTGAACCATCCCTTAGTTATGCTGCTATAGGCCTAGACTATCGGGGGATTTCCCATGGTGCACTGAGCTCCTCTCTTCCTCTCTCTTTCTGCACTCATTCATGTCCCATTAATGCATGTTGCTAACTTCACTTCTTCCCCGGAGTTCTTGTGCTTTCTCGTCTCGCAGGTTCTCATCGATCCTGGTGGAGCCTCCTGCCATGGTCCTGCTTGACTACCTTTGCCTATACTGTTGTTGCTGTGCATCTCTCTCTCTCTCTGCCTCTCTCTCTCTCTGCCTCTCTCTCTCTCTCTCACCCCAACTGGTCGAGACAGACGACCACCCACCTAGAGCCGGAGGATCTGTCCTAGGTTTCTGCCTTTTAACAGGCAGTGTTTCCTTGCCCTTGTCTCCAAGGTCTTGCTCATGGTGGTACTGTTGGGTCTCTGTAATTAATGTTATAAAGAGTTCGGTCTAGACCTGCTCTATTTGAAAAGTGTCCTGAGATAACTTCTGTTATGAATTGGTGCTATACAAATAAAACTGAATTGAAATTGAATTGAAATTGAATTGAATTGCATGTGCCTGAATGCACCTGAACACTACTGAATTCAATTCAATTCAATTAGTAAAAGTCCCTGAACTTGGAGAGCCACTGATAACTGTTGATGGCAGTTGGTGATTAATTTTCTCTCTAATAGTAATAATTTTATTATGGAAGAAGCTCATAAAGTCGTTGCTACTTAAGCTTATGGGGATATGTGGCTCAATAGAGCTGTGACTCTCTGTCAGCCTGGCTACAGTGCTGAAGAGGAACCTACCTACGGGAATTACGGAGGGCCTTTCTATAAGTTTTAAGATTATCTTGCCAAATTGAGCGATATTCTGATAATTTGGAAGAGCGCAATTTCCTTTCAGATTTTCTAGCTATTTGTTTTAACTGGCGGGTTTGGTGGTTATACCAAGGTGCTAGTCTCCTATGTTTTAATAATTTCCTTTTTATAGGAGCGATAGAGTCTAATGTTTTAAAGAGTTCGGTCTAGACCTGCTCTATTTGAAAAGTGTCCTGAGATAACTTCTGTTATGAATTGGCGCTATACAAATAAAATTTAATTGAATTTAATTAATGTTGATCGTAGTGAGCCTGCAGCACTATCGACAAGATTATCAATTTCAGAGGGACTAAAGTTGTTATAGGATTCTGTTAAATTCAGAATGAATATTAAAATCACCTACAATAATTACTTTATCTGATTTAAGGACTAAACTTGATAAAAACTCTGAGAATTCAGATATAAAATCAGAGTACGGTCCAGGAGCGCGGTACACTATAACAAATAGAACTGGCTGCAATGTTTTCCAGTTTGGGTGAGAAAGACTAAGAACAAGGCTTTCAAATGAATTATAATTTAGTTTAGGTTTAGGGTCCATTAAAACGCTCGAATCATATATGGCTGCCACTCCACCTCCTCGGCCAGTGCCTCGAGGAATGTGAGTATTAATATGACTGGGGGGGGTGGATTCATTTAGGCTAACATACTCCTCGTGGGACAACCAGGTCTCAGTAAGACAAAGTAAATCAATATCATAATCTGATATTAACTCATTCACTTAAACAGCTTTAGAGGACAGAGACCTGATATTAAACAGCCCACATTTCATTCTCTTATTTTGTGCTACTGAGGAGTTGGTTTTAATTTTTATTAGGTTTTTATGTTGAACTCCTCTTGTTTTTATTTCTTTAAATAGTTTAGGTGGTCGGGGGACAGACACAGTCTCTATGGGGTTTTGGGTGGGTGACT